CATATAATATATTGTTTTAATATCATATTGGACTGTTTCTATAGATAAACTATTAATAAATAATAGATAAACTATTCAAAATTTCTTTGACTTTGAATTTTATATAATTAGTTTATAGCAGAAGTTTTATTTAGAATATATTTATAATTATTAATATAATTATTGTTTATAATTGTTAATAATTTATTTATAATTATTCTATTATCCTACAAATAAAATTAATATTAAAAATATATATATTATATATTTATTTATATCATTTATGAAAAATATGCAAAATATATGTTATATGAAAAATATGTATTTGCATAAAAATTCACAATCTATTATATATTTATAACAATGTGTTAATTGAAACTATAAAAACTAATGTATTTTTCATTATTTCTTTTTTTAAAATTTATCTTTCATTTAAACAATCATCATAAGATATTTATATGATATCACATTTATCTATTTTTAGAAATTAAAAGTAGCAAACCCATATTGTCATAAGATTTTTTGCTAAGACTTCAATCATGATAATAATTTATCAACATTAATTTCATAATGACTTTCAAATTTTTTTCGTACAAACTTTTTAAAAATCACTTAATTCATTATTATAATTTTTATGTAAATATTTTATTTTTAGAGTAAATTTTTTATGTTTTTTATTCTTCATCGAAATCAATATATAATTTAATATCATTATCCGCAGAAAAAACGAAAAAAATGATGTTACTCAATAATCAAACAAAGGAAAATATTAGTATGTGATAACATTACTAATTTCTAATTACAATATGCGTGATTATATAATGCATTAACTATATGCAAATCACATAAACTGAATCATTTAAAACTTATGCAATTTATTTGCATAAATGTGAATATATGTGTATAATTTTATGTTTTTACATGTCCAACATAACATTGAAAAATTATCATTTAAAAAAAAAGCAAAAAAAATCCAAGAAAATAGACTATTGACTCATTGAATAATAATGTAGATTGTTCTTTTAATTTTTTTTCTTTTATTTATTTATTTATTTTTTTTAATTTCAAGATCATCCATAAAAATATCGATATTATTTATAATTAAAATCCATTTGTTGATGATAAAAATAGATACTTTTTTTTATTCCTTTTTTTATTTTGTTTCTTGGTTTATTTCATTCTGTTGATGATTCACGATTGGATGCACCTGAATAGGATATATCGCAAATTTTTCCACACGATAATGAATGTTTTTGTTGGCCTGTTTTAAACATGCCGATTAACATAACGATCATCAATTAGCGAATGATGTCGTAATATGATAATACGCCTACGCGATTCCTTATTTTCTTATTTTATCTTTTTTTCTCTCTTTCTTTTATATGTCATCAAATGATTACGAGATATATTAAGAAAATATAGAAAGACTGTGTAGACTTTTAGATAAGTAAAATGTTAATCATTGAGTGAAATATCAAATTAAGAAGCATTTATCAAAGATGTAATTTTATTTTTAATATTTAAGTAAATTTTGTTTTTCCATTTTTTTAATATTAATAAATTTTTTTTAATATTTTCATAATTTTGTTTTTTATAAGTAAATTTATAATTCTAAAATTTATTAGTTATATTATTATTGAATAAAGATTTCTTTATTCATAATCTCTTTTTTTATTTAATCCTGATAATTTTATTAAATAACTTAATAATTAATAATATTAATAATTATTTAATTAAAAAAAAAATAAACTTTCAAATGAAACTGAAGGAATTTTGTATTTTCTATTTCTCTTGGTAATTGTAATCATAACAATGATCTTGAAAGATTTTTAAAATTCCTTCACAGTACAATGTAAGTAATGAAACATTTACTTACATTTTATGAAATATTTTATAAAATATAGAAACATGTAGAAGCAAAATTAAAGAAAATGGTGAAAAACAGGAAATAGTAAAACCTACACGAAATCATTTTTCTTTTTTCACAATTTCGCATTTTTTCTTTTTTCCCTCTTCATCAGTATGAGAAAAGACAAATAAACGATAATAATTATTTTCATATTTGTTTCAGTTATATCTCAATATCGTACCGAGGAAGATCTCTTCAAAAAAGAGGAGAAAAAGATGAAATTGCTGAAGGAAACAATACCATTTTATTTGAACAAGTTTGAACATATTATTAGTGAAAATGGAGGTTACACCGTTGGTACGACCGTAAGTCATTATTTAGATTTGATATTAAAATTTTTTATATTAAAATCAGTGTGTGTCAAAAAATTCCATAGGACATATTGAAGAATATATTGAAGAAAATTTGTTGATATAAAATTCAAGTTGTTGATATAAAATTTTTGAAATACATTGATACGAAGAAAAAAATTTTAATTCACGAATATATATATCTTTTAAATAAATCGCTTTTAAATTATAATAATATCTAATAATCTTATTAATATTTTAAATAATATATTTTAATAATAATATATATTTTAAATAAATCTTAATATTTTAATATCTTAATGTAAATTCGATTAATCTTAATGTAAATTCGATTCGTGCATTATTTTTATCTTAAAACTTCAAAATTAACATCACAAATGAAATCAAAATTAATATTTTTAAAATTAGTATTATAAATATAGATAACTTTTTGACTCTTACTTTCGAAATATTATTTTGTTGAATAAATATAACCATTAAATGAAGAATATCTATTATTTACTAATATCATTTCACGAGATTAATTAAAATTAAAATATTTTATTTTATATGTATAATTCATAATTTCTTAATATAAATAACATTTTACAAAATGTAATTTTATCTATAAAAATTAAATTAATTTATTATCTTCTTTTAATGAAAAAACATATCTTAAAAATTATTATTAGTACAATTTATAAGATAAAAAATAAGAAATTACATAATTTCATGTATAAATTTTTTTTATCAAATTATTCAAAGCAATTAAAGTCCTATCCTCACAATATACAAATCATTTTAATATAAAATATATTTACTTTATAAATTAAAAAAAATATCCAAAATAAATTATTGAATTGAAACAAATTGAAATACAAATTGAAACTTCTACAAATTGAACTTCTAAAAACTTTAAAATTAAAGAAATATTTATCTAAAATATATGTAAATTGTTTTTAAATTATTTTCCAGACGACATGGGCAGATTTTGTTTTCGCAGTAGCTCTTGAAAATTTCGAGAATATTTTTGGAACAATGGCTTTAGAAAATTATCCAGGTCTTCGTGCATTGAAAAAAAGAGTTCACGAAATACCTAGTATTGTTACTTGGCTATCTAAACGACCACATACGGAATTTTAAAAATGTTTGAAATTACACGAGGAAAATGGTGAATGATAATATGTCTATGTATATTTTGTGTATATATTTCGTCAAGTATTATTGTGTTAGCCAACACAAAATTACAAATATCTTTAACAAGTTTACTAACTACTAAAATCGTTTATCTACACTGAAAGTTTAACTAGAATTTCGTAATTTTTATTTCTTTGTAAAAATTATTATATTTAAAGTAAGGTAAAAAACATAAATAATAAATGCATGTATATAATATAAAATATCTCAAGATAAAAATTATATTATATTATTTAATATTAGAATAGAAATTTGTGTTCTTTATGTGTACATATATATATATATATAAGTTGTAAATAAAGTATATAATTATATCATATTTCTTGTTCATTCAAACAACCTCTATTTTATTTATATGTTATTTCAAATTATATATTTGAAAAGTCATGGAATATAGATTTTTTTATATCATATCTATCACGATAAAATTTTAATATTAAAAAGAAACATATAAAATAACTTTAAAATATCATTTACATAAAAAAAAAAGATAAGCTGATAAGATTTGCTTAAAAATTAAAAACAACAATTAAAAACAATATATTAAAAAAAAGACATTATTTTTTATGTTTTGTATTATTTCTAATTTATATATCTATTATTTTGCCACTTTTTAAATGATACTTATATCGAGATATTTTTTTTATTTCTTCGTGATCTATTTACCAGAATTATCTGAGTGCAAAAATAATATCTTTTCAAAAATAAAAATTTTAAATATTAATGAATGTAAATTATTTTAGTTGTATTCATACAACATAATTTATAAGCAGTGAAATAAACTGAAGTGAGAAAAAAATTTTAAAATAAAGAATTGATTTTTAAATGTTGTAATATCTTTAATTAATGCAAGATTCTAATTAAATGTTATGAATTAAACATTAAAAAATAAATATGTATTGAATCGTTGTAATTGCAAAACTTTGGAATGATGTAATGAAATAATAATCTCATATAAAAAAACGAGCAGTTTTACGTTATTTTCTTCACTAATATTTTAATAATAATAATTTCAATATTGCAGTGTAATAATTTCATTTCATTATATACATGTATATCATTTGAAAAATTTTTTGTATTTTTCTGTTATATAATTATATTTATATTTTTCTGTTATATTTTTCTGTTATATTTGTAAAATATTACTTCAATTATAATACATATAATATTCTATGAGTAATTTTCCAATTTTATTTATCGACAGAAGTATACTTAACCACTGCCGATAAGAGAGCGATCATGATAAGAAACATTAACCAATGCCATATAAATATGATTATGATTGATAAAAATATTAACTTTTTTTATATGATATTATTATTATTTTAATCATCTAAATTAATATTAAAAATGAAATATTTTATTTTATATATGTTAATAAAAATCGAATAACAAGTTTATATTGTTTTTTTGTTTCCCGATCTTCAAATTTATATATTTTTCTATTATCATATTGTTTTTTTTCTTTTTTTTACATTCGATAATTGCAAATTTCATATCATTTAATTATAATATTTAGAAATTATCATTTTATATTATTTCAAATTTCGCGCTTTACTATCTTGTATAGTTTGTCGTTTTATTTGATGGCGCTGTTCATATTTATAAATTTTTCTTTTTTAATATTTTGCTTTTATGATATTTTATAGAATATTTTATATTTTCACGAATAATAAAAAATTTCAATTTTTATTTAACAAAATTTATTAATGTTAAAGCATAATGTTTTCAATTTCAATTTAATCTTTCTGGATGTTTCTAAATGGAGTGTCGTTAGACATTCATCGTAGCTCCACCAATAAGATGTTAGTGGTATGTAGGTGCGATAGGAGATACTATATAGGTGTTTGAAGATTTGATTTCGTCATAATACTTAGCTTTCCGTTGACTGGCTCGGAAGAGTCCTGCTGTTATTTCATTTTACGAATCTCATTAGAAATTGTAAGTAAATAGCAAATAATATAAATTAGGATGTTTTTTTAAAATGTTTATATTATATATTTTTATTACATATTTTTTTTTATGATTCAGAATTAAAGTCTATATGATTACTAAAAGTTTTCAATACATTTTTGCCGGCTAAAAGATAATTAAAAATTATTGAAAAAAATAAATGTTATTAAAGTTTAATATGTAAGTGAAATTGTATGTAGATTTTAGTATGTTTTTAAAAAATGTGTCACTGAAAATATATCATTGAAAAAACAGTTTTAAATGTTTTGTGATTACGAAAATTTATTTGACTAAGAATAGTACTAAATTACTATTGAGGGAGCTTGAGTATTATAGATCTATATATGTACATATATATATATATATATTCAAGTAATAGTAGAAAATTAGTCCATGAATATAACTGACATTTTGAAAATACCAGTTGTATGAATTCGTTGATTATAAATTTATGATTATAAGTTTGGTTATTGACATATATGGTAAGTGATAGAATATATGCCGGTAATATTGTATTTTTATTTATTTATTTTATTCATTTTTATTCATATTATTATTCATATATATATAAAATTGATTTATTCATAAAAATATTTATAAAACATTTTGATATAAATTTTTCTATTCGAAAATTTTTTTTATATCCAAACTATATTTGAATGAATAAGAATGAATAAAAATAAAAGAATAAATAAAAAATTAATGTATAAAGTATAAAAATATTTTATTTATAAAAAAATTAAACTGATTTTTTATTTATGATATATGTATCATAAAGATTTGAAATTATTAGTGTTTTTATTTAAATTATTTTATCTTTTAAGATTAAAATTTCCTATATTATATTCCTATATAATATAATCTGTCTTTTTTTATGTATATTTATTAATTTCCTCTATTTCTTTTTTTTCTTTTTTATAAATGATTCTTTTATTTGACTTTTTGACTTTATATAATTTATCCTTATAGCAAAATGTCTACGTACAAATTGACTTACTTCCCAGTTAAAGGATTGGGTGAACCAATTCGTTTTCTCTTAAGCTATGCTGGAATTTCATTTGAAGATGAGCGTTTTGATAGAGATGACTGGCCAAAAATAAAGCCTAGTAAGTTTAAAATTTAAGTAAATTCATGCTTTTTTAATCATTATTTTTTGTGATTTATTAAATAATATGAAAGATATAATACAGATTTTGTTTACTTTTTTTATTACTCTATAAGATACCTTTGACAACAATGGGCATTGTTAAGAAGACAATATCCTTTGTTCATTGATAAATTGTCAATAAACTAAAATTGCTTCTCTAAAGCAAATGATAACAGGCAACTGTTAGATATTTAAATATTTTATAATAATTATATAATAATTTATAATTTTATAATAATTTAATAAAACAAAAAATGAATTTCTTGAATCAATTGATAGTTATAAATATTTTATAAATAAATTTGAAAAATTAAAATAATTATTAAATAAAATATTTCACTTCATTTATTTATTTTTTAGCTACTCCTTTTGGCCAAGTTCCTGTACTTGATGTTGATGGGAAAAAAGTAGCTCAGTCAGTAGCTATTTCTCGTTATTTGGCAAAAAAATCTGGTTTAGCTGGAAAGGATGATTGGGAAGCTTTAGAAATTGATAGTATTGTTGATACTATTCATGATGTTCGTGCAAGTAAGTATTAATAAAAAATATTTGTTCAATTAATTGAAATTAATTGAAATTCAATTATAATTTAAATTTTATATATTGTATGCTGTATGAAAATAATTACTAAATTTTTTAAATTTTAGGACTTGCTGCCTTCCACTATGAAGAAAATGAGGAAATTAAAGCTGCGAAACGCAAGATTGCTGATGAAGTAGTACCATATTATCTGGAACGTTTAGATGCTCAAGTGAAGAATAATGGTGGCTACTTTGTTGGGGGTGCTCTTTCTTGGGCTGATTTATCATTTGTTGCTTTGCTCGACTATTTAAATTTCATGAATGGATCCGATCTCATCGAGAAATATGACAATCTGAAGCAATTGAAAGAAAAAGTTCTCAATTTACCTGCTATTAAAAGTTGGCTTGATAAACGTCCACATTCTGATTTTTAAATTTTTCATTTCTTGATTATTTTCTGTTCTATAAACATTTTAAGTTTGCGATTTAAATTCTCTAAAAAAATGGATCGCTTCAATTGCTTTCATGAAAATGTTAATTCTTGTATGGAATATATAAAGATGCTTTTAACAGCTTAGTTTCAGTTATAAGCAACATTTTTGTCAGTTAATTAAAGCTTTTTTTTTTTAGATCGCATCGTTAATAAATGGTTGATCCATTACAATAAAGAAATATATATTTGTATCCCTACAGAAATACATTATAAACTGTTTAATCCATATGCTTTTGTATTACAAATAATATAAATAATAAAGAAATTATTATATATTACGAAATTTAATATGTAATAAAAAAATTATTATATTTTTTTTCTTAAATTCGAAACATCCTATTTTAAATAAATTAATAAATCCTATTTTAAATAAATTAATAAATATTTTAAATAAATTCGAAAAATCCTATTTTCTTATTTTAATATCGTATTGTGTATAAAAATGTCAAATCTAAAAAAAATATTAAGAATTGATAAAAAATATACATAC